CCCCTCCCCCTCTCGGTCGTCGCCGCTAGGAACCCCACTCCCTTCCCTCCTCTCCCCAGGAAGCCGCCCTGGATCCGCCTATGAATCCATCACTGGTGAATTGTTGCACAGCACCTCGGGAATCGCCGCCACGATCTTGGACCTCATCTTCAACTCGGCAGAAACGTAAAAAACACGGTCTAGGTGGGGCTAGGCATTCAATGTTTCTGGTTGCTGCAAAGGCATAATTACACTCCTAAAATGTAGTACTGGAATTAGGTCTCAGTTCTCGGCCCTCGAAACTGCATTTTGGCTTGCGGGCCATATCACAGTGATTGCAGCTAAAAAATTTGATTTCGTTGCTCCCTTCCATAGTGACAGAGCTGAAAGCATAGCCGAAAAAAGCTTTTTATATCTTCATACTAAAAAACAGTTTGGAACACCCATTATCCAAGAAGGCTGCCGAAACTGTTTTCCTCGGAGAAAAAACCCAAGCGTACGCAGGTGGTGATATTAAAACGGGAAGGTCGCAAATGATGCGGGCAAATACTCCCGAGGTTTCAGCCTTCTAGCTTTTCTGGTTCTCGAGTTGAAAGTGGGTGACAACACAGACACACACAAACAGACAGCCTCAACATGCGTTCTTGCATTTGCATATATGCAAAAAAGCATAAAAAGAATAGCCCTAGCTTCAAAAGTTTCAAAAGTTTCCGCAGAAAGCTGTCAACAAAAGTTTCCGCAGAAAGCTGTCAACAAGCAAACATGTAACCTTAACAAGCGAATTGAGTCCTAACGCAGCAGCAACTGCGCCACCAGTGGCACAGCAATAAGACGTAAACAGCAGCTTGTTGGACACGCTATCACCCGAACGATTCGTATAATTAACAACTGCATTGAATGTCTGATTCAGCCATTGCCAAAATACCACAGCACCCGTTGTCCTATAATTTAGCACTTGTGGGTATGCAGTTCGAAAAAATCTTCAACAACTAATTCACTATCACCCATAGGCCAAGGTGACTTCCTTGGAGGAAGAGGGGAAGGGGCCGGGAGAAAATTTTAAATAATCCGTTCTAAAGTACCCACAAGCG